TCTTTTAAAATTTTTTTCACTAGGTAGGCCATACTGGCCTTGAACTGGTGATTCTCCTGCCTCAGTCTCTTGAGTGATTACAGGGCTGTGCTACCATGTCTGGCTTTTTATTTTGAGATGGGGCCTCGATAAGTCACTAGATTGCCCAGGCACTGCCTCAGCCTGCTAAGAGTGCTGGGATCATAGGCATATACCACCCACTTGGTTTTTATTTTTATTTTTTGTGGTATTGGGGATTGAACTCAAGGCCTTGCACATGCTAGGCAGACATTTTACCACTGATCTACATTATTTTTATTTTGAGTCAGGGTCTCATTAAATTGTCCATGATGGCCTTGAGTTTGCGATCTTCCTGCCTCAGACAGCTCAGTAGCTGTGATTACTGTGCACAGCTATGGATCAGTTTTTTCTTTAAATTATTTTATCAATATCTGTCTGGGCATGGTGGCACACTCCTGTAATCAGTCTCAGCACTGAGCAGCTGAGGCAGGAGGATCGCCATAAGTTCGAGAGCAGCCCAGGCTGCATAGTGAGTTGAAGGCCTGCCTGTCTCAAAAAAGAAAAAAAAATCCTGAATAGTTAAATTCTGGTTATATTTTATATAATAGTACTATGATCATACTTAGCTCTTTTTAAGTGCTAGATTTGAGTGTACCTGAAATGTTTGCTATACTGGTAACTAATAACTAATAATTCTTAGGTTCCATAATTATATAAGAGAAGCAGTGTTAACCCATTGGGATCTGCTTTGCTTGGTGCTTATCATTTTATGACTACAGAAATGTTCAATGCTGTTGTGGCATTTGAAAGTTATTTAAAAGGTTTTCCCTCTTGGGGAGAATGAGAACAAAATATTTGCTTCTTTTGCTGTCTTTGAAAAAAATTATATTACTTCTAGTTGATCTTTTTAGGTTTACAAAAGATACTGCAAGGTTCAAGGATGAGTTAGACATCATGAAGTTCATTTGTAAAGATTTTTGGACTACAGTATTCAAGAAACAAATCGACAATCTAAGGACAAATCATCAGGTATTTAAGTAAATTATGGCCTATTTTGTAAAAGTCCTTTATCTTAATATAAATGTTCTAGTTTAGTAATGTACTTACTTAAAATTTATTTATTTATTTATTACTTATTTAAAATTTAAAATAGTTTCTGATCAACCTTGGATGTTTCTTTTACGATATTAGTAAGTCAATTAGTTTTTTCTCTGTTAGGGTAAAGTGAATAAAGACAAATTGGCAGTTATCAGTAATACAGCTGTTTCCTTCAATTACACAAGTTATGTAAAATTTTAAGTGGAGCAGATGTCAGAATTATTGATTTTAGGACTTAGTTCCTTATTACTAAGTAGTGATAATATGCAGGACGAGAGATATGTCACATTTTTATGTCTTTAGAATAACTTCTAAAGTCTAATTTTTTGGGAATTTTTTTGACACAAAGTATCACTATGTAGCCCAGGCTGGCCTTGAACTTCATGGTGATCCTCCTGCCTCAGCCTCCTTGAGTGCTGGGATTACAGTCAGGCACCACTGTGCCTGCCTTCCGAAGTCTAATTTAAAACCACATTTAACTCTTAAATCTTTAATTTTTTATTTCTTTAAAAAATTTTTTGCAGTACTTGAGGTTGAACCAGGGGCCTTGGCACTGAACTACATTCCCAGCCCTTTATTTTTCTGATTTTGAAACAGGCTTTCACTAAATTGCTAAGTTGCCCAGGCTGGCTTCATACTTGCAGTTGTCTGGCCTCAGTCTTCCAGAATGTTAGGATTCCGGGAGTGTGCCACCATGCCCTGCTCAAGTAACTCTTGTGTTATTACTGCTGTCATTTTTTTCTATCCTTAAAAGATTTTGTTACTATAAAATTAGTAGATTACCTAGAAAACTATGTGTTTAAACAGATTGATTTTCTTTTATGAATATCCAGGACTACTTTTAAGTAGATTTGGCATTTTGAGTAAGTTTTAAAAATGAAAATAGTGTATGTAGTATGACCGACCAGTAGAATTCACTTTTTCCTATAATACTAATCTTAACTGGAATTATTTGAAATCTGATTGACTTTTTCAACCTATTCTAATACATAAAAATTTCATGTGAATATATCCTAGTATAAGACTTTTTTTTTTTTTTTTTTTAATTTTTGTGGTAGTACAGATTCAACCCAGGGCCTTTACACTGGGCTATAGGCTTACTTACCTGCTCCCGCCCCTGCCCCTGATTTTTTTGAGACAGGGTCTCAGTAAGTTAAATTGCTCAGGGTGGGCTTGAACTTGTGATTCTCCTGCCTTAGCCTCCAGAGTTTTGGGATTACAATTGTGTGCCACCATGCC